AGTCCTAAAGATACGGATTACCACCCTCATCTTACGAACGTGGGAACCAAGCACCAAAGTCACAGTCCGTTAAGGGACAAAGCTAGGATGTAAATCCAGGTCCACCTGACTAAAAGACCATGTTTAAACAGTAACTAGAGGTCACTGTGTGTCAGAACTGTCTGGGCTGGTGTTAGGGAAGTTATGAAAGGAGAACGAAGGATGGACAAGATGACTTCAGGGGTCCTAACAATCCTGGCGTTCTATGTTAAAAAGCACATGCTGGCTTCCAAGTAAAGGCCCTGCGATGAAACAATCCTGCAAGGACTGGCCGAGACATCACAAGGGAAGTGAAAAAGAGAATAATTTTGATAGCCCCAAATAGAGTTTCTACCTGTTGACAGGACTTTCAACCTCTGAGTTTCTGAATCAGGGAAGATTCGCTAGCCACACATCCTCTACTCAAAGGGACACATAAACAGATCTTTGAGATAGTGGAAACAGAGAGGGAAGCCCTCTGATGCAGGAAAGAGATAGACGGGATCCTAGAAAAGGGAGAAGACAAAAGAGGAAGATTAAGACTATAATCTCTGCCAGATTTTCTCCCTGACAGCTAATCATGGAAGGCCAAAAATGAATCATTGGTGGTGAACTGAGAAGATATAGCCTCAGCTTCAGGCTGTTCTTTTAGAGATATCAAAGCTAGTATAGTGAGCATAGGGATTTTTTAAAAAATCTTGCCTCTGAACTACCTAAAGTAATAGGTAAATTAACTTATGATAGGTATTCCGAGGTTTCTTGGCAAAGAGCAATGTACGCAGGAGGGTTACATTTCACTATGTATGTTAGCATGTTGGGGGAAAGGCAAGAGAGATGTTAAATTCAAAGAATATAGGATTACTGCCTAGAGGGAATTTATAATTTACCATTTGCCTGAACTTCCCATATCCTTTTCAAACATATCACTTTAGTTCCCCTTTCTTTTTGCCCCATAAAATCATGGTTTCTTTATTTTAATTATATCTCTGGAATACCATTCTTTATTTCTCTATCTTATACATATTACCCCTAACTTTGTTTCTTTTCCCTTGGAATGGCCATTCTGGGCCTAATTCCACATACCCTCTTCCCCCAAAAGTATCTTCTTGCCCTTCTTGCCCTCATCCACCTTCTTTCTTACTTTTTACCCATCACCTGTCATCTTGCAATCTGGATACCTTCAAGAGAAGATATGGTAACTAACTAAAGGTAAACAACACATAAAAAATTTAGTTTTATAAGGTGCTGTAATAAATGCCAATAACTAGACAAAAATTCAGAGAAGCTAGTTTTCCAGCAACAAACAATGATTAGTAAATTTGGGGGTTAAAATTTTACATAAACTTTTGTCATTTTAAGTAAGATCCTTTATAATGATTTTGGGTTGTGAAAGTATTAACTGCTGAGAAATTAAAAATACCAATGCCTGTATGACATTAAAAATAGGTTTTTTCCATTGATAGCTATAGATTGAGGGTTATATAAAGAGAAAACTTTACAAATTTGCAAGTCATCAGACCTTGTCTGGAAACATTAATCTACCTCAGTTCCTTGTAATACACCCTACCAGACATCACCAGGAGCCAATAACCATGCCAGTGTGTGGCAGTCTGGCTGCCAGGTGACATGGACATTGTCCAAAGGGCCAGAAAACCCCTGGTGGGGATAAACAGGCTGCTGCTAAGAGCAGAATTGAGAGCGACGTAACTGCGACAGGAAGGGAACAGCCATCGCTGGGCTGCAGGCATCTCATCTCAGACTGAGGGAGTGTACTCATCTCGGCTTCTTTCATTCCTTTTCTCACAGGTGTTCACAGGAAAAAAATACACACACACACACCAACACACATCAGACTGAGGCAACTCTGAGGCAGACAACTGTTTCCCCTGGACTTGTAAGAGGAAAAGAAAGGGAAAAGGAGGTGCCAGAAAGGGGGTGAGTGGGAAGGGGAAGTACGTTTCCACATGAAGACAGACCCAGCGAATACGGTGAATGGTGAAATGTGTTGCCAACTGGAAAACGATTATGTTTTAACACTAAACGAGGTTTCAGAAACTAACGGCTTAACAGTGTTCCTCTACTGCTGAATAATGAACTGAGGATCTCAGGGGACCCAAAGCTAAAAAAGTGGGGATACCAAGCACTACAGGTCCATATGAGTTGGCCTTTTCTGGAACAAACTGAAAACGGCTAATTTATGAGGACTTGAAAGCAACATATTAGAAGAATGACCATTGTCTAAGAGGGGAGGGGGAAATTCTGCTTTGATAATTTGACAGTTGAAGATGAACATCTCATTTCCCCTAATTCAATCTTGGTTTCCTTTAGCTAAATGTTTCCTTTCTTTACCACCCCCTTTAAAACCAAATGGATGGGCTGTTTAGAGCTAACTCACTGGTCCTAAATATAACTGGAGCTAAACAAAAAGGTCTTTCTCACTGGCACGAAAAGTCTTTAAGGTAGCTGTGAAATGCTCACAGCAGTGGGCTGAGCATCACGATGTATTTAATGGAGACAAGAGCCTGATTCTAGTGACGGAGCAGGGCCTGAGCTCCACAAGGCTGCTAGGGCCCCTCTGAGGCTCAACATCAAGGGATTCTAAACTTAGAACCAATGGGGCCCATTGCTATTTCTACATCAAAACCGCTGGAGAATAAAGCAGATCCGGAGAAACACTGGCTAAGGAAGCCTCACAAACCACACGAAACAGAACATGAGACGCTAGAGAATTCCTCAAGAAAAGAGAAGAATATTCCTCAGGAAAGAGAATATATATTTCCACTGTGTGGAGATAAAGCTGATTTGGCATTTCAACTTCCCAATCAAGTCGCCTCTGCAATTGTTAGCGCAGTTTGAGCACTTAGCACGTATCAGGAGCAGGCACTGGGACTCTCACCACTAAGGTGTACACTCAGAAAGGCCCTTGGGGAACGGCTCTCACTCTCCTTCTGTGGCTGTCTTGTATCCTCTCAATTCATGTAACAAAAGTAAATGAGCATTAAAAATTAAAACCAATAAAATGAAGGGACACAGAAATCAAATAATTTGCCTCTCCTGCAGATGGCTTTGTTAACGTTCCAAGATTGTTTTTATTTATTTATTTATTATTTTTGTGTGTGTGAGGAAGATTAGCCCTGAGCTGACATCTGTTGCCAATCCTCCTCTTTTTGCTGAGGAAGAATGGCCCTGGGCTAACATCCGTGCCATATTCCTCTACTTTATATGGGACGCCACCACAGCATGACTTGATAAGTGGTGCATAGGTCCACACCCGGGATCTGAACCTGTGAATCCCAGGCCGCCCAAGCGGAGTGTGCAAACTTAACCACTACACCACCAGGCCAGCCCCCCAAGATTGTTTTTAAAAGGCAAGAACAGGAAAAATCACCACCCACCCTAGGGCCTTCATTTCAGCTATTTAACAGTGTTTTCTAAGCTGCAGGTCACAATGTATTAGGTCAAAGCATCGATTTAGTGAGTTGCTACCATCATTTTTTAAAGACGCAGTCAAATAGAATAGAGAAGAAAACATCAGTGTGTTTTGCAAGAAGTATTGTTTCATGAAACTTTATTTCAAATATATATGTGTATATATGTACTGAGTCCTGATATAAAATGTTTCTTCTTACAGTGAATTAAAATCTAAAAATGTTTGAAAGCCACTGAGCTACTGGAAACTTAAGGGAGGTAGACCAGGGTGGTATACTACAGAGAGATTGTATATGGATCAAATACTTATGAATTGTGAGGACGTTCATGGCTCAACTGAGCAACCTCAGTCAATAAACAAGGATTACTGTCAGAGTTATCCAAGAACTCTCACATCGTCCTGGAGCTAAGAAGCACAGCTCTCAGTCTGAAAACAGAGGAAAGCCCCACCAAAACTGAGCTGAGAGAAAATGCTGGCTTGTATACATAGACCCCTCTAGCATTTATTAAGATAAAAGAAATCTGGACTCTGGAAGGAAATGACATGACAGTTCCTACTTCTAGAGCATCACAAGCCATGGCCCCAACCAAAGGACCCATTCATTGACTGGGAGATCAAGCCTTTTAGAACAGGGGTAGGTGGAGAGGTTACGAGAAAGAAGAAACTACTCTCCCAGTCCGGCCAAACAAGCTCTTCCTTCCTGGCACAACTGGCCAAGTGATGGACTCTCTGTTCTGAGCACGTCTATATTCTTTTATTCCTACCCACCCTTGACTCCTGACATAGTCACATCTTTGCGAATCCCCATTCGGTCTAATCAAATAGCCCAGTCCTAGCTACACAGCCCGAAAGGAAGCCTAGCACAAGAGACGAGTCCTTCCTAAGTAGAGATATAAACACCAGATAGATAACACGATCTCTCAGGAGGTGCCACAAGACCTGTGCTGTCTCTGGAAATTTACTTCAAGAGAGAAGCAAAGATATTCTTCAGATGACGGGATCTCCAAATCTCCTTACATTGAGCCAGACCTGTCCTCACATTCCCAAGTTTCTTAGAAAGCAGGAGACACAGTCTGTCCCACTTAGTAAATAATGGCTATGTCTAAGGAAAAACTCACAAAATTCTTCACTTGGTCTCAATCTAATAAGAACATTATCCATCATCTTAACATTCCTTTTGTAAAGAGATGGCTAGTGATAATTCTAGCAATACCTTCCTGCTAAGAAATGAAAAAGGATTTCTAACCCTGATCATAAGTATTCTGTAAAAGCATGTTGAGATGCAAGTAACACATTCTCTTTATTTTAGAAAGGGAGGAAATGAGGCAAGGAGACAAGGAAACTGCTCAGGGCCTTGCAGCATGATGGCAGAGGCAGGGATGGGCACTGCTACAGCCTCGTCTGTCAGCTTCCTAGATTATTTTCCTTTGACTCCATCAGTTGATGCTCAGAGCCCAGAGTATATATTGCCAAATTATTTTCTGGGAAAGATCAAATACAAGAATAGCTGGTATACACGTGCACAATTGCTATATAAGTATGAAATTGGTACCTGTAAGAGTGCATGGTGCATCGTCACCTCCAGTTCGGCTAAAACATGGGCAGCATCCTCACTGTCCTCTTGGACCTCCAGGTCCTCCTCAGGGATGGTTTCCCAGTTGCCCTGGTGAGCAACCAGCGTGTGCACTAGTTCATACTGGCCAGGAAGCACCAGGTTGACCCGAGTCTGAGTCCCATAGGTGAAGCGGAGGCGCCGAAGCTTACAGCTCTCCTCACTGCCCAGCTTGGTGGTGGGAAGCACCTGCACGCCCAACAGCAGGTTCAACAGCTGGCATTTGACATTACAATCCTGGCCGAGGATCAAGATGCAGGGGAGGCAGTCCACAATCTGCTGGAGGTACTTCTCTTCCTTAGGTGGGAAGGAAATGCAGCTCAGCTGGCCTGGGTGGGGAAGGGGAGAGTGGAGAAGGAGAAAGGAGTACAGAGAGAAGAGTAAGGAGGGGCAGAGAGACTCACACAAGGACCCCATTAGGATGTCAGGGTCCTAGAGAAGAAATTTCTAGGAAGCTCTTGGTTGAAGGAGACATCAGGAAACACCCCAGACAGAAAAGGCTCCTCAAATATCAAATGAAATTCCCCTCCCTGGCTCATCCCCAGAGCAGCTGTTCCTATCCAGAAAGGTGGCAGTGACGGGATCTACCCCACCCCTCCTTCTTCATCCAGTAGAGCGACGGCCTAAGGAGTTTACAAGGACTCAATCACAATCACAAGATCATTAAACTGACAAAGCTGGAAAAGACTACACTAACTGGGATGTGAGTCCAAGAGAAACTACACCTGAATATGTCAAAATGAAAATCTTCCTTGAGACGGAAAACCTAATACTTGAACATACAAGGCCCTTTTAAACGTCTCTACCATATGCAGTTTTAGCTTGTTATTTTCCTCATTTATGATATATTTTATAACTAAATGTACGAGCTAATCTTTAAATACACATATATGGAAATAAAATGTTATTCAAGTTTGCCTAAGCTCTAGAAGCTTTTCCGGTTCATCTCTCTGATAGCTGGTGACAGCATCCCAGCTGCCAAGTCATCTGTTTTCCTAGAACATCAGGTGCTCAATTAAGATCAATATCTCCTAATCAAATCACATTCCTTCAGTTTATGGGTGACGAGACCCTGAGTAAGACAAAGGGAAAGAGCTGCCTGTTCGGATAAAATCCAGGCAAACCTAGGAAGAGATGTGATCTATCTCAAAAACATCCTTTCAGGACAACCACGCTCATCTAAATGGCTAGCTTCCACAAACAGATCAAACAGTATTCAAGACAGAATAAAAGCCTTCCTAAAGTACGAGGACCTCTGTTTGGGAAAAAGAACCAGGAATTAGCTGACTGGAACTCTCGGATTCTGACCTCCACTGTCCCCGACTTGCTCAGTGCCAGTGCCTGCCATGTCCACGATTCAGGCAACCCTTGCGTTTGTTCAGAAAGGCACAGACACACGGTTCCCAGGCTGTTAGAAGGCCGCTCTCTGAGCCAAACACATACATCCTAATCGAAATCTGGGGTGGCACCAACTGAAACAGTACTCACTTGAGTCACTTAACCATGAGCTGCATTAAACCACTCATAAGCCCTTTAGTTCGTTCCTGCGACTGAAGCAAGAGAGGCCTGCTTCATTTAAGAGGTTGTTCTACTTCAGACTGTGCCTATCTGGGTACAAACTTACTATTTCAAATCCTCAAACCTCCTTCTCTTCCACAAATGGCACCACCAAAAGGTTTCAAGAAGTCTGCCTTCACCCAGACCCCTCCATGCATTTCACGAAGCCCTTCCTTTCCTGTCTGTCCGTAAGAACATCACCTGGCCTGTGCACGTACATCAGCAACACCAGACACTGACACAAGGAAATCGACTCTCCTGGGAAAGAGGTGGGTTCCTCTGAAAAAGCAAAGAGCATTAACTGAGTGCCTAATTCTGTGCAAGGTATTTACTAAGCACAAGGGTGAACACCAGTCCACTGGGCTCATCTTTGACCTACAATCTAAAAGCAAGAGGACACAGCCAATTGCTTGTGTGACCACTAGCAATTCTGTTCACAATTAAACAACACATCACAGTCTATTCTAGTTATCTGTTTATAATTATCAAAAGCAGGAAGAACCATCATATTTCTCTCTGTATCCTCAACACCCAACATGATGACTGACACATAGTAAGTGCTTTCTGTTATGTACTTGTCTGCTCTGTGTCAGAATCCATTTATTGTGGAGAATGGAGAATTGTCTACAGAAAGCTCTAAGTCGTTCCACTAAGTACTCAGAAAAGTCTAGTACCATGATGAATAGTTTAGGAGCAACTGTCATTCCTAAAAACCTCCTTCATCTCAACACAGAGAGTAGATGTGGAGAACAGAATAGGACTTCCCAACTCACCTTGCAGAATTGAACTCCCATAGTGTCCGCGTGAGCAGTGGGAAGTCCAGCTAGATTCCCTCTTATCTATACTTCCCATCTTTCCTCTTTTCCCAGTCCTCCTCAGATTCTCAGATCGGTGTTTAAGTGTAAGTGCACACTGACAACCTTCATAACCCCTCTAACAAAAGCTGGTACATAATAAAAAACAATAAACCTAAACGAGCTCTGTTACTGCTGCTGCTAGGAGAGTGGATAACAGAGAATGAAAACCATTTTTCAGGACCAGAGGCAGAGCTCTCAACACCTCTGAGACAAAGTGTCAACTCTAGGAAGCCAGTAAAACACGCTGCAGCAGCCCAAACCACAGCTGACACACCCCAGTATTCATCTGACCCAAATTATCACACCCCCATCTCTGTAGTGACAAAAGCAGTCACTACAAATAAACCCACTAGCCTCAACCAACCACAGACCAGTGCAATGGGAAAGGGGGCTGATGCTGAGCACAGTTCTAATTTTTGTTCCCAGCCACTTTGCTAGCTTCTACATGCAACCTATTGGACTGAAGAAAGGTTTTCAATACGGGTATCACCATCTGTTTTTCAATATATCATTATCCAAGCCCTTAGCTTCTCCCACTAATCTTTAGCTTCTTCACTGATCTCCAATATGTCTACAAGATTTGAACAACGGCATGGAGCGAAATCAAGCTGAAACTAGACTGTAACACTCCTTGCTTCTCTTGGCAAATGGTCCGGTGAGGGAGAAGTGCAGCCCTGAGGTGGGAAGAACACTAGGGCAGAGGGCAGATACTCTGATCCCCGGCTGACCACTGACCAGCACTGACTCTGACAACTCACTTGACTTCTCTCAGCCTTGGACTTCTCATCTGTGAATCAAGGGAGTTGGATTAGATCATCTTTAACATCCTTTCCAGTTCTAAAACTCCAGGATTCCATCAGGCTTTAACTGTTGAAAGAAAAATAATTGAGGGGGATGGGCAGCTGGCCTGGCTGTTTTTATTTTAAATTCTATGCAAATTTAATTATGCAAGCTCTCCCTGGACCACTCTAACTGCAGATCAAAAAGTGGACTGAAGGAGCCAGGACTCTGAGGACCCACAGAGCAGTTTTTACAGTTCTCTAAAGAAGAGATTCCAAACTGTGGACTGACAGTAGGAGGTATGAAGAAAACCTGTTTCAGAGCTGGAGCAGCTGCCTCACTGACAGTTAAAGGACTTCTGAGTTAATCCGGTTTTCTTTTGTAATTAATATAACAGCATCTGCATATGGGGCTGCCAGAAGGTAACAGCACAGCCTCTCAGCTGGAGCACATTAACCCTGCCAACTCAGACTGCAGGCAAATTCAAATCAAATTGTCTTAAGTGCAAGCCAAGGCTTTTTGTTTTTCCCTTGATGGTTCTTAAATACAGATTATCTCGATTGGGGCTACTTCCAAACAAAGGCTTCAAACTAGAAGGAGAAGAGCAACTAAAGCAGTAACCCATTTTGTTTGTTTGTTTTAGATAATGAAAGGGAGCAAAATAGACCACCCCAAAATATGCCTCTTTGGCATACTGATTATTTTAAGCTGGTTATTTTTCAGAAACAGCAGACACAGGTGAAGCTCTGAAAACTGAGTAGAAGTTACTCCTGTAAGAAACATTTACAAGGGAAATTTCCATTTGTAAGAGCGGCTCCCTCTCAGACTCTAACTCTAGAAACTCTATCAATGCAGAAGGCACGCACTTAACTCTGCACATCTTGCACTTTTCCTGATAGCCCCCCATACCCGGTCTCTCCCGCCCCCATCTTTGGTCTTTTTTTTGTGTGTGTGTGAGGAAGATCAGCCCTGAGCTAACATCCGTGCTAATCCTCCTCTTTTTGCTGAGGAAGACTGGCTCTGAGCTAACATCTATTGCCAATCCTCCTCCTTCCCCCGCCCCCAAAGCCCCAGTAGATAGTTGTATGTCATAGTTGCACATCCTTCTAGTTGCTGTATGTGGGACGCAGCCTCAGCATGGCTGGAGAAGCGGTGCGTCGGTGCGCTCCCGGGATCTGAACCCGGGCTGCCAGTAGCGGAGCGTGCGCACTTAACAGCTAAGCCATGGGGCCGGCCCCCCATCTTTGGTCTTTAGCTGAAGATGATATTTAAGGAGATGATATTTAAGTAACATTTTGGCGAGTTACTCAGTTTTTCCTGGGTCTCTCCCATGTATACAGGAGGTATACATATTATTAAACTTCTGTTTGTTCTTCTCCTGTTAACCTGTCTTTTTATTACAGGGGTGTCTCAGCCAAGAACCTAGAAGAGTAGAAGGGATATTATTTTTCCTCCTCCATGTTAACATTTACTGAGTCCTTTCTAAGTACATCAGTTTATTTGCCTCATCTCATTTAATGCTAACAATTCTACCAGACAAGGACTATTATTATCCCCATTTATAGATGAGGAAACAGTAGCTTAAAAAACAAAGCAAGAAAGAGCCCACGTTTCTCCATTTACCTAAGCAGATAAAAGGTGGACCAGGGCAGTGCACAACCTGTACTTAGGTCTCTGGGGGCCAGGTCAGTACTTGGTAGTAGACAGTGCCCCCAAAGGCTGGCAGAATATGCCATCCCCAAATATGCCACTTCGGCATGAGGATTATTTTGAGCTAAAGGCCCTTGACACACAGCAGGTATAAGAAGGGCACTCTGACCTCCCCTTTTTCGTCAAGAAAGCAGGATAACCCCATCTGGAAGATGCCCTCTCTGTACCAGACGGAAACATTCTGATCACCAGAGCCCAGGAGTCAAGGCCAAGAAAAATCTGTACAAATAAGTCTTGTTAAACTAACTCATATCTTCTAGTTACTTTTCCACCATTTATTGCGCTAGCCCAAGCCCCTCTGCCTTGTCCTGCTCTCATAATCTACTTCTCTTTGTCCAATTCAGTATACAAGTGTTCAACTCTGTTTCTTTGGGTCTTCGTTCTCTTCTGGGGACTCCCCAGTACATATAAAATGCATATGCTTTTCTCCTGTTTATCTGTCTTATGTCAGTTTAATTCTTAGGCCTAGCTGGAGACCCTAAGAGGATAGAGGAGAAATTTTTCCTCCCCTACACCCCCTATCACATTTTTTCCCAATCTGGGGCCAAACACAACTCAGTAATTGTTGGACCCCAATTTAAAGCAGACTGACAAGAATCCCTATGAAAATTGTCCCAAATCATGAGGAATAAAGC